TCTATTCTATAACCTTACTAAATTCACTTACTGATTCCTTCTCCTCCTTCTAATATATCTCAAACGTGAAATTCTTAGAGAAAATTCAATACAATATGTGTAAGGTTGCAGGTTGAATACTACAAACACTACACAGAGAAATTAAAGACCAAATAAGTAGAGGGATATATCGTGCCCATGGAAAGGAAAATTCAAATTGCAGAGAGGGTTATCTCCAAATAGATTTATATGTTTAATTAAATCTAAATCAAATCTCTTCAGGTTTCTTTGTAGAAATTGACAAGCTGATTCTAACATGATGTAAAAATGCAAAGGGTCTAAAATATGCATAATGATCATGAAAAAAGAAGAATAAAGTTTATTTCAACACAACAGAAAACTAGAGAAAAAGTACAATGTGGTAAGGATAGATATAAATATCAGAGGAAAAAAGAGTAAATATATATATATATGTATATATATATATACATATATATATATTTAATTTCTGACAGTGGTAATTCAATAGAAAAGGATAATCTTTTTTTTTTGGAAAATGGTGTTAATCAATTGCATATCTCTATGCAAAAATATGTACTTCAATTTTAATTCACAAATATATTAAAATTAACTAAATAGGGCTCTTAAACATAAATGTAGGAGCTAAAACTAAAAAAATCTCTAGAAGAAAACAAAGGGGAAAAAATCTTTATGACTTTGGGGCGCCTGGGTGGTTCAGTGGGTTAAAGCCTCTGCCTTCGGCTCGGGTCATGATCCCAGGGTCCTGGGATCGAGCCCCACATCGGGCTCTCTGCTGCGTGGGGAGCCTGCTTCCTCCCGTCTGCCTCTCTGCCTACCTGTGATCTCTGTCTGTTAAATAAATAAATAAAATCTTTAAAAAAAAATCTTTATGACTTTAATTTAGGCAAAGATTTCTTGAACACAAAAAGCACAAACCATAAAAGGAAAAATTGATAAACTGGACTTATCAAAATGAAAAGCTTTCCTCCTCTGAAGAGACTGCTTAGAAATTGAAAAGACAAGCCACAGATAGGAAGAAAGCATTTGCAAAATATATCTGATAGAGAGAACTTAATATCACTCCATAATAAAAAAAACTAATGATTTGATTTTTTAAAATGAGCACCAGATTTGGAAACTTCACCAACGTAGATAAACAAATTGCCAATAAACACACATAAAGATGCTCAGCATCATTAGATTTTAGGGAAATGCAAATTAAAACCACAAAGTAACACTACTACACACCTCCTAAAATGGCCACTTTTTTTTTTTTTTTTTAACTGAGGGACGTTTTACAAAAAGCCTGAGAAGTACTCCTCAAAAAGGACAAAATCATGAAAAACAGGAAAGAGTACAAAGGTCAGTTTTGTGATTTTTTTTTGCTAACATTTCTTAAGTACAGTCCTGGGGTGTCAAATGTCAAGGCAAAGTTCAACAAAGAATTCAAGGGAAAGTGAAATAAAGAAGTTTATTACTCACAGATCCTGGAGGAGGTACATCGCACTCAAGGAGGCACATAGGGGAGGTTAAGTCAGGCAGAGAGTGAGCAGCAAGCGTTGGAGCATATGGCTTTACTAGGGCTTGAGGGTGTAGTGCTTTGGGATTATTGGGCTAGGGCCAGATTGGTCAATTCAAACTAAAAAGAATGAGGTTTTGGTAAGTGTTGCAGGGGTCTTATCTAAGGGAAGGATGCATAGTCCCGGGAGAGACTGTTTACCAGAAAGACTACTTACCTGTGACTCTGCTATCTGAGGCATGCACCTGAGGGAGGGGCTAGTGTCAGTTCAAGTCCCCTCCAGGCCACTTACCCACACAAAACGGATGCCAAGGAAGCAGTCTCAAGGAGAAATTTAACTAAGCCATCAATAGTTGCAGGCCAGAGGAGACAAAGGAGACATGATGACTAAATTCTATGTGAAATCTCTGCACTGAATTCTAGGACAGAAAAAGGATAGTGGAATTCAAATAAAGCTTGAAATATGATTAATATTAATATACATATGTTAGTTTTCTAGTTTTCACAAATGTACAATGGTAACTTTAAAATGTGAACATCAGAAGAAACCAGGTGGCCGGCATATGGAAACTCTCTCTACCATCTTTGTAACTTTTCTAAAATTATTTTCAAACAGAAAGTTTACTTAAAAAATCAATCGTGTGTGTACCTGTTTCTGGACATTCTCTTCTGTTGATCTAGTCTTATGCTTGGCCAATATCACTTTGTCTTTACACTTAGAATGATACTTGAAGTCAGATAGTGTTTAAGTCCTCCAACATTGTTAATTTTCTGTATTATTTTGGCTCTTGCACTTCCATACAGGTTTCCATACAATTTCTATTAAAAAAAAAAAAAGCCTGTTGGGCTTTTGATTGGTGTTGAAAATAGATCAGTGTAGGGACAAATGACATATTAACATCACTGAATAATTCAGTTCATGGAAGATGATCAACCTCACCATTTCCTTAGTTTTAAAGTTTCTGTGAGCAATACTTTGCAATTTTCAGAGCCAAGCTTTGGTTAATTTATTCCTTTTTTATGGTTTATGATGTATTGTTAAGTGGATTATTAAATTTTATTTTTCAGTATTTGCTTGTTAATATGTACACATACAATTATTTCTTTTGTATTTTGGTCTTTTTTCTTAAGAACTTGAAAAATTCACTTATAAGATTTAATCTTTGGGGCACCTGGGTGGCTCAGTGGGTTAAAGCCTCTGCCTTCTTCTCAGGACATGATCCCAGGGTCCTGGGATCCAGCCCCGCATTGGACTCTCTGCTTGGCAGAGACCCTGCTTCCCTTCCTCTCTCTCTCTGCATGTCTGCCTACTTGTGATCTCTGTCAAATGAATAAAATCTTTAAAAAAAACCCAAAAACTTGGCATCAAAATATTAACAAAAAAAAAAAAAGAGAGAGAGAGAGAGAGAGATTTAATCTTTGGGACACCTGGGTGGCTCAGTCAGTTAAGCATCTGACTTCAGCTCAGCTCATGATCTCAAGGTCCTGGGATGGAGCCCTGTGTCTGGCCCCATGCTCAGTGGGGAGTCTGCTTGTCCCTCTGCCCCTTCTTCTGCTTGTGTTCTCTCTCTCTCTCAAATAAATAAAATCTTAAGTCTTAAAAAAACTATTTAAACTTTGTAGATTCCTTAGGATTTTAAATATATAAGGTCAGGTTGTTATGAATAAAGAAAGTTTTACTTCATCCTTCCCAAATTGTATGCTTTCTTATTTTTTTTTTCTTTGCTTACTACATTGGCCAGGACTTCTATTACACCGTTAAATAAAAATGAGGGGGCGCCTGGGTGGCTCAGTCAGTTAAGCATCTGACTCTTGGTTTAGCTCAGGTCATGATGTTGGGGTCTTGGGTTTGAGTCCCGAGTTGAGCTCCACACTCAGTATGGAGTCTGTTTGTCCCTCTCTCTCTCCTCCTCCCCACCCATGCTCGCTCTCTCGCTCTCTCTCTCTCTCTCTGGAATAAATAAATATCTTTTTTTTTAAATGAGGACAGATATTTTTGCTTTGTTTCTAATCTTATGTAGAAAAAACCCGTAAAAATGGTTGAAGTAGAGAAGTTACCATCTGTTGATCATTTGTTGAAAGTTTTCATCACAAATGGATGTTGAATTTTGTCAAATGTTTTTTCTGCATCTATGGAAATTATGTTTTTCCCCTTATCAAAAAATAATTTAATTATATGGTTGGATAATCAGATATTTAAAGAAAATACTACATTCGGGAATACACTCCAATTGATCAAGACTTATTTCACTTTTTCTTTTTTTTGCCTGTTGTTTGATGTCTCTCTTAACTCTGTATGCTTTATACCAAGTGATATTTTTAAAAGTCTACTACCTTTTTAAAAAGATTTATTTGAGAGAGAAGGAGAGAGCTCATGGGGGGAGGAGCAGAGGGAGCTAGAGAGAATCTAAAGAAGACTCCCTCCTGAGCATGAAGCCCAATGTGGGGCTTGATCCCATGACTCAGAACATGACCTGATCTGAAATCAAGAGTCAGACACTTAACCAACAGAGCCACCCAGGTGCCCCTCTACTACTAACTTTTGATGTCTCTATAAATGCACTGGCTTCATCTTCCATTAATTCTATACACATTAAGAAAGAGTGGAGGAAAAGCTATCTGTAATTTAGTTACATTTTGTCCTTTTATGTTTTTTAAGATGTGGGGAAAATGGTATCATTCAGTATGGGAAGTAAGACAGGTGCAAATATCCATATTCACTTCCAAATGACACATAATTTGGGTTATGAATGCCATTTCTACAAAACTTGTAGAATGATCACATATAGTCATCACTTTGTTTTCCTGATTAATCTATTTGCAGTTGACTCTTGAACAACCAGATTTCAACAGTGCAGGTCCATGGGGTTTTTTTTTATTAATACAGTACAGTAATCTAAATGTATTTTTTTCTTCCTTATGACTTTCTTAATAACACCTTTTCTCTAGCTCATTTAATTGGAAGAACACAATATGCAATACATATGACATAAAAATATGTGTTGATAGAATGTTTATGCTACCAGTAAAGCTTCCAGTCAATAATAGATTATTAGTAGTTAAGTTTTTGGAACATTAAAAGTTATACATGAATTTTCAACTGTACAAGGGAACCCTAATCCATGTTGTTCAAGCATCAACTGTACTCATCCATTTAAAAAATTTGTACCACACAGTGATCAAGCCAAGCACATGTGGTTGAGAATTTTCTACCATACTCTAAAAAAACTTTTGCTATTAGGCCTGAACCATGATGTCTAATGTAATTTTTTGGAAACATGATTTTTCAAAGTTGCCTCTCAATATAAATTTTCTGGTGATTGATAGTTGGGGAGCTATTGTTGAAGGCTTTCCATGTTTAGTATATTCATAAAGTTTTTAGACTTCATGAATTCTATGATGTGTGATGAAATTTTAATCATTGAATTAAAATTTTCTCATTCCATTAAAAGGGTTTCTGTTCCATATGAATTCTCTGAGGAATAATGAGAGTAGACTTCTTGCTGAAAGCTTTCCTACAATTATTACATTCATAGGATCTTTCTCCAGTGTGTATTCTATGAGGTGCAGTGAGGTGTGACTTCTTACTAAAGGCTTTTCCACACTCAATGCATTCATATAGCTTCATTCCAGTATGGATTCTTTGATGCACAATGAGTTGTGATTTCTGGGTAAAAGCTTTTCTGCATTCACTACATTCATAGGGTTTCTCCCCAGTAGTAATTCTCTGAAGTTCAATAAACTGTGAGCTCTGGATAAAGGCCTTCCCACAATCACAGCATTGATATCCTTTGTCCCCAGGGTGAGTTCTCCGATGCACAATGAGATGACTTTTGAATGGAGGCTTTTTTACATTCACTACACTCAAATGGTTTCTCTCCAGTGTGAATTCTGTGATGTACAGTTAGTTCTGACTTCCTGTTGAAGGCTTTTCCACACTCATTACATACATAGGGTTTCTCCCCAGTATGAACTCTCTGATGTACAATGAGCTGTGACCACCAGATGAAAGTTTTTCCATAGTCTGCATTCATATGGTTTCTCCCCAGTATGAATTCTTTGATGAACACTAAGTGTTGACTTCTTGATGAAAACTTTCCCACATTCATTGCATTCATAGGGGTTTTTTCCCCCTGTGTGAATCCTCTGATTAATAATGAGGTTTGACCTCTGGATGAATGCTTTCCCACATTGACTACATTCATAGGGGTTCTCTCCTGTATGAGTTCTCTGATGTACAGTGAGTTGTGACTTCTGAATAAAGGCTTTTTCACATTCATTACATTTGTATGGTTTATGCCCAGTATGAATCCTCTGATGTACAGTGAGTCCTGATTTTCCACTGAAGGCTTTCCCACACTGAATACATTTATATGATTTCTCACTGGTTAGAATTTTCAGTTGAACAAAGAGGTGTGACTTCTGCATGAAGGCTCTGATGTGTTCACTAGATGTTCTGTTCAGATGATTCCTTTCCCCAGTACATTGTTACATTCATGGTCTACCTCCTTAGTTAGTGGCTTATTGTTAATGAATTCAACTTGGCTCAAAAACTTGTCTTGGTCTCCCTGATATGAAGAAGTGGAGATGCAATGTGGGGGGTCTGGGGGGTAGGAAAAGAATAAATGAAACAAGATGGGATTGGGAGGGAGACAAACCATAAGTGACTCTTAATCTCACAAAACAAACTGAGGGTTGCTGGGGGAGGGGGGTCGGGAAAGGGGGGTGGGGTTATGGACATTGGGGAAGGTATGTGCTAGGGTGAGTGCTGTGAAGTGTGTAAACCTGGCGATTCACAGACCCGTACCCCTGAGGCTAAAAATACATTATAATTTTATAAAAAAATAAAAAAATTTAATTAAAAAAAGTCCTAAATGACCTGTGCATAAATAAGATCCAAAGTATAGATAAGGGGGTTACCTCTCTCTCTAAAAGTTAAGCAAAGAAAATGGACTGCATGGGTGTTAGATACGTAGCAGTGTTATTTAGGTAACTGATAATCCCACACCAACTGTCTTCAGCCATTTCTAGACATCTATGGCCTTAAAGAATGATTTCTTAAAAAATATTTCAAAGATAAATGTCTCCTTAATCAGTATTAATCTTACGTCCTTGTTTCCCATATGCTAGTTTCTTACTTACCTGAATAGGCCCAACTTGAGATTTCTTCCTCCTTCATCCGTGGATCTCCTTGCTTCAATAAGATTATATTGGAACTGACACCCTGTTTATGGCAAATGATACAGGACATGGGCATTAGTGGACATCCAACCATCCTAGAACTCAAGCCCACCATATATGCACCAGCATAGCTAAAATTAAAAAGACTAGTATAACCAGATGTTGATGGAACTCTCATACATTGCTAGTAGGAAATAAACTGATATAACCTCTATGGAATATCATCTGATAGTATCTACTAAAGTTAAACATACATGTGCCCATGACCCAGAAATTCTTCTCCTATGTAAATATCCAATAAAAATAAAATGCTTATTTCCCCTAGAAGATGCATATTAGAATGTCCATAACAACAACAACAACAAAAACGAACATTAAAAAAGTAAAAAGAAAAAAAGAAAAAGAAAAAGAAAAATAATGCTCATAACAGCTTTATTCAATGACTCAAATCTTAAACAAGCTAAATAACTATCAACAGTAGAATGGGTAAGTTGATGAACTACCCTATCCTCATTAAATGGAATATGATGCAACAGTAAGGAGAAACAAATATTGTCATGTGCAAAAACATGGATGAATTTCACAGAAACTATGGTAAATGAAAGATGCCAGACAATTACAGTGGTTACACTTACATGAAGTTCAAGAACAGACAAAACTAATCTACACTGATAGAAGCCATAAGTATTTATCTCTGAGGAGGGGTTGAAGGGAGCCTACTAGGGTGCTTGAAATGTTTTTACCTTGATCTGGGCAGTGATTAAATAACACAGGAAAAAGATGCATCAGTCTGCATAATTAAGATTTGAGCACTTTACTATATATGCTCTATTTCAATTAATCTATGAAAACTAAGAACTTGGGCACAGCCCATAGTTTTTAACCCTCAAAGAATGAGAAGAACGGGGCACCTGGATGGCTCAGTGGGTTAAAGCCTCTGCCTTCGGCTCAGGTCATGATCCCAGGGTCCTGGAATCGAGCCCCGTGTCAGGCTTTCTGCTCCGCAGGGAGCCTGCTTCCTCCTCTCTCTCTCTGCCTGCCTCTCTGCTTACTTGTGATCTCTGTCAAATAAATAAATAAAATCTTAAAAAAAAAAAAAAAGAATGAGCAGGATGCAGCACCCATTCTCTTTTCACCCAAGTCCACTGGAGTATTTAGTACTCAAAATCAATATTCTTTTGACCTTTGTAGCTTGAAATGAAGCTCATTAAACATGCAGAGACTCAGCAGCTTTTAGTAAATAAGAAAGGAAAGGCAATCAATCGGGTACTATGGTAGATTTAATATATGTTCATAAATTCCTTGGCACTCTTCCCTTCAAGAAGTCCTCTCGTTCCCTTAAGCATGGGCTGGACTCAGTAACTATTTCTAATAAACACAATACGGTAGAGGTCAGTATGTGATTTCAGAGACCTGATCACAAAAAGGCACTGTGACTTCCTTCTGGCTCTCCTGGATCACTCTATCTGGGGAAGTTTGTCATATCGTGAGAAACTGAGATCTCTTGCCTATGGACAGGAAGGAGCTGAAGGCTCCTGTTAACAGCCATGTGAGTGAGTTATCTTCGAAATGGATCCTGCACTGCCAGCAAGCTTCAGGTGACAGCGGCCCCTGCTAACATCTGATTACAACCACATGGGAGACCGCAAGCCAGAACCAGGCAGCTAAGCCCTTCCAAACTCCTGACCTATAGAAATTGTTAGTAAAAAACATGGTTGGTTTTTTTTTTTTAGATTTTATTTATTTATTTATTTATTTGTCAGAGAGAGAGAGAGAGAGAGAGAGAGCACAAGCAGGCAGAGTGGCAGGCAGAGGCAGGCAGAGAAGCAGGCTCCCTGCTGAGCAAGGAGCCCAATGCAGGACTCGATCCCAGGACCCTGGGATCATGACCCAGGCCAAAGGCAGTGGCCCAACTGACTGAGCCACCTAGGCGTCCCAAAATCGTTTGTTTTAAGCCACTAAGTTTTAAAGTAATTGTTATGCAGCTGCAGATAACTAATACCCAGTACCCTTTGAGAGAAGGTATTCTTACCTACTGAAACAAGGTTGCTATAGTTCTCTAACAGCACATCCCTGCACAGGTTTCCCTGAACAGAGTCCAGCTGCTGCCACACCTCCCAAGTGAAGTCCACAGTCATATCCTTGAATGACACAAATCCCGGCCACAGGACATTCCTGTTCAATCTAAAGTGAAAAACACTCGGTAATATGTGAAAGATGCTTAATTATGCAGAGTTCCTCATAATACATTAAAGAAGATGTTTACAATAAGGCCAGTTTTACTATGTGGGAGAAGCAGAACTCCTATTAGAAAAACTCTACTACTGAGAACCATTCATCCTCTCTTTCCAGCAAGAAGCACCTATTAGGCCACAACACAACCAGCATTATCTGATGGTCAGAATACAAATGTGTTTGTATACAATTTGTATACAATACAAATTCCTGTAAACAGGAAGTTTACAGACTAGTAGATGGAGAAAAAAAAATAAATATATAAATGCTATTGGGTGTTAAATAGGAATGGGAAAGAAGAAATGATTCTATTTTGGGAGGTTGAGATGGGTTTTATAGAAGATAGACAGTTATGCAAAATGAATAATGAAAAAGGTAAAAAAAATTTAAGTAAAGATAAAATACTTTTTCTGAAATGTTAAAAACGAATAGTGTAAACTCCAGTAAGATATGGAGGAGGGAGAAAGATCATTCTAGATGGAGAAAGGAGTAAAGAAAAATGAGATGAGGACATGAAAAAGAACATGGCAAATTCAAGGAACTGTTCGTACTCTCGGAATAATGCTCAGACATCATTTATTCATTTAGTGTTTTCACAATTTTTACATAGCTGCATGTCACTCACACTATTTTTGACTTAATAGTTTTAACAACTCTTTTACTTAAAGAAATTATTTAAGAGGAAACCACTAAAGGGAAAACCAGTATTAGTTCCTGAAATGAAAACAAAAATCTGCAAAACAAGCATATACTGATGAAATTTCGTTTATGGGGTTTGCTTTAAAATACTCTGGAGAACAGTGGCTCAGTTGGTTTAGCATCTGAATCCTGGTCTGTCTCATGGCAGGTCTTGATCTCAAGGTTGTAAATTCAAGCCCCACAGTGGGCTCGACACTGGGCATGGAGTCTACTTAAAAACAAAAAACATACAAACAAAAAACTCTAGAGAACAAATAAAGGAAGAGAGAGGAGAAAGACATAAGATTGGAAAAACACTGATAATTATTGAGAATATATGGGGGCGCCTGGGTGGCTCAGTGGGTTAAGCCTCTGACTTCGGCTCAGGTTATGATCCCAGGGTCCTGGGATCAAGCCCTGCATCGGCTCTCTGCTCAGCGGGGAGCCTGCTTCCCCCTCTCTCTCTGCCTGCCTCTCTGCCTCCTTGTAATTTCTGTCTGTCAAATAAATAAATTAATTAAATTTAAAAAAAAAGAAAATATGTGAACAAGTTTATTCGTTATTACTCTTTATTACTCTTCATCCAGGAGTTTATTAAACTGTTCTCTAAATTTTTGTGTATGTTGGCATTTTCCCTTAAAGAACTTATAAAAATTAAATACAACAGAACCATTGTTTTTAAAGCTTAAATTAAAATAAAAACAATAAAATGTAATCAATATTTAATCTGGTCAATTTATTTTTTTAAATACCTACTTAGAAATCATAAGAAGAATAGAATAACTTATTATCAATTTGTAATAAAGTACTGCTTTGTACTTATTTTTCTTTTAAAAAAAATTATTTATTTATTTGACAGAGAGAGATCACAAGTAGGCAGAGAGGCAGGCAGAGAGAGAGAGGAGGAAGCAGGCTCCCCGCCGAGCAGAGAGCCCAATGTGGGACTCAATCCCAGGACCCTGAGATCATGACCTGAGCTGAAGGCAGAGGCCTAACCCACTGAGCCACCCAAGCGCCCCTGTTTTTACTTATTTTTCAAACCGTGATTAGGTTCTACCACAATAAGAGAATTCAATTTTAAATTTGATGTAAATCAAATCCAAGTATGATGTATCTGAAAGACAGTAGGAAGATGAGGGACGGCAAGGAATCAACTAAGAGTGCTTGGGTTTTGAACTAAGAAACTAACATCCTGCTCAAGTCCAGAGAATAAGAAAGAACAGGTTTGGGTGGAGGTGGGAGGTGGAATCAAGAACTCTACTTGTTGGGGCGCCTGGGTGGCTCAGTGGGTTAAGCCTCTGCCTTCAGCTCAGGTCATGATCTCAGGGTCCTGG